TGTTCCCCTTAGATTTGTTCCCCCACCAGATTCAGATCCTCATCCCTCTCGCTGCAACTTGAATGTAGTTCTCAAGAAAAGGCCACCCCTCAGCCTAGCCTTTCCTGACTAGACAAGCTCAGGGTCTCCCATCCACCCAGTCCTCTACCATGACTCAGCTCCCCTGCCGGGCCCGGGAGCCCAGCCAGATTGATTCCTGGCTTGGGCAGGCAGGCTTCTGGCTTCCTGTCCCACAAAGGGACAGGGGGGAGCCTCCTGCCTCCTTCCCAAACCCTGTCCCCTTCCTTAAGAGACTGGTAAGGGCCAAGACCTCCCTCGCAGCTCAGACTCAGGTTGGGAGAGCCAGTATGGGTACAGGAAGGATGGCAGGTAGGCAGTTCAAGGTTACCTGCGTCTCCCTCTGGCCCCAGACATGGTGTCTACATAATCCTGGCCAACTCTAAGGTAACAGCCCTACCTTTCCTAGGGCCTCCTGTCCAGACTCCAGCACAGGCCAGTGGGAGGCATTCCTGGGTCTCCTCTCTGGCTTTCCTGCTACATGATACAGCCCTTCCCACTGTCCTGAAGGGGAGGCATTGCAAACGAATTGTTATTCCCAACTAGCAATAAAAACAAAGCATCAGCCAAGAGGGTAATGTCACAACAATTAACCATTTCTAATAAACTTTCTTTGGGAAATAGAGAAGAGTGACAGTACTTTTCATTCCATGGCTGGTGGGAAATACGTCTATTGAGAGTAGCATTAGCTATAATTATTTTCACATTAATTGTATTTGATTTGAATACTAATAGTTTGGTACCTTAGAAGATGGTTTTCTCATTTTGTGGGTCATTGTACTACTTTGGAACCTGCGGAATCTTTGGAGACGTTCTGCTCTGACCCTTTTCTTTTATAGCTGGGGAAATCCAGAGAGGGGAGGTGATTTGCTAAAGGTCACACAGCAATTTACTGGCAAAGTCAAGTCTAGAACTAAGGAGGCTGAGGGTCAGGGCTCTTTCTACTACCCACACTGCCTGGCAATTTGTTGGTGGATGAACTTGACTCTTATTAAGGGATAGGAGACCCTACAGCCTCTCCAAAAACCCTCTCTCTAGGTATCTCCAAGCTCAGCCCATGTCACCTTCAGTGCTGGGAACCCAATGGGGGTGGGAATGGGATGAACGCCCCTTGTGTCTAGCCTCTGAGCCAGGCTTGGTGTTGGCTGCCACAGCTGCTGGAGGTGGTAAGTGGCCAAAGGGAAGAGAACAGTGGGTACAGTTGGTAGGTGAATGCATCTCTTACCAGTTGTCCCCGCAGCTGTCCCTGGCTCAGCCTGCTACTGAGCTAGGGGATCACTGGGGGAGGGGCTGGGAGAGGTAGCAAAGGGCACCTCTCACTTGAGTCAGGATCTCAGGCCCCTGGAGGCCAGGAGAAGTGCCAACCGAGGGCACTGCTCAAGGGAAGGAAATCAGGACCCTAGTGAGGAATTTTTCTTTCTCTTGTCTCTCCTGGGCTCCTTAAGTACTTCTCAGTCCTTGGGTTTAGTTGTACCTCCTTCTTTCCCTTTGGATCAAAACATGGACTTCAGAGCAGGGAGATGGGAAAAGTAACTCGAAGAGGTACCCTCGGGTGAGGGCTGGGGCCCAGGCATCCCCAAAGGCCCCCACCCCATTCTCCTCATGTCTCTGCCAACGGGCATAATTTCCTTCTGATCTGGGTAGACAATTCCCATGACAAGTCCTAAGACAGTCTCAAGACAGGACTCCCCAGCCTCTCAGAGCTCTATGTCACCATGAACGACCTGGCAGGGACACAGGTCTTTCCAGGTACAGGCTGGAGCAAGGGCTGTTGATCAAGTGCTAACAGGCCCTGGAAGGACAGCAGAGCACTGAGGCATTGCAGGTCCCAGAGCAGAAACTCCAGGCCTCAGGAGTGAAGCTCAGGACTCAGGAGCTGGGCCTCTAGTCCCCCACCCCTCCTGGACCCTATCCCTTAAGCTAGAGAAGTGAGGTTTAATGGTAAGAGCACTTGGCTGGGAGTCAAGTCCTGGCCTGTCACCCCCTTGCTGTGTGACATGGGACCAGCCTCTGTACCTCTGTGGCCTTTGCTGCCCTTGTCCTATCAGAGCCGGCATGAGCCGGAGTCTGCACCTCCCAATGAGGCTGCATAAGGTGGGCAATCCAGGAAGTCATCAAGCACCAGAGCCTCGTCCAGGGGGAAGAGGAACTTCTGCTTTGTGGGCCTGGGATCACCCCACTTGTGACTCAGGCTTCCTGTGTCAGTTCCGTATGGGAAGGTGCAGACCCTGGCAACATCCCGCAGCCCGAGCCCATAACTCTGGACTCAACTCTAGAACCAATGGTGCCTATTGCCTGTCTGGAACCCTGAGTCCAGAACACCAGCAGAGGTCCTAAGAAGGCAGGAAAAGGACCCCCAGATGCAGTAGGAAGGGGGATACCACATGCCCTCAGATCTCCACTCTCCCCTTAAGACATCTGCTGTCTCTTGAAAAGCCACTAGGGTAGGAAGGAAGGGGCAGCATCTGAGTCATCCACCCAGCTGTCCTGCCTGGGGTGGGGCCCAGCTCCCAGCCTGGACCCCAGACGGACCTTCCTTGGCGCTCTTAACCTCCCCATTCTCCCTGCACTCGGGTACCCAAATCCCTCAGGCCCCAGAGTAAAGAGAGAGAGAGAGAGTGTGTGTGTGTGTGTGTGTGTGTGTGTGTGTGTGTGTGAGGCGGGTGTTTGTGCTGGAAGCTTATAACCTAGCCCAGCTAACCTAGCCCAGCAAGAGGAAGCCCCAAGCTCCTGGGTGTGGTCAAGGTACTCAGGCTAGTCCAGGGATTGCTACAGGGTCTTCGAGGCAGCTTTGCATCCCAACTCCAAGCCTGACCCTGAACTCTGAGCTCTAATTAAACATTAAACCAGACAACACCTTCTCTCCAAGCTTCAGTGGGAGGGACTGAGGCAAGCCGTTCTTCCTCTCGCAAACTCTTCATTCTACCTGCTTCTTCACCCCACCCAGAGCACAGCAGCACAAAAGGCAGCAACAAATCCTGGCCCCCTCTTCTGGGGACATAGACAGGGGCAGACACTCCACTCTGAGCCCCCTTGGTCCCTTCACCCCTACTTCCCATCAGCCTGGGATCCAGGTGTGCAACACATGCCCCCCTTTCCCGGAAGCCCAGCCAGGATTAGTGGGGGAGAAGAGAGGCAGGTGGCTAAATATAACAAGTACACACACCACCCCCGCCGCTGCCCCACGTGCACACACACCCGCCTGGTGTCCCGGGCCGGACAGCTGCACCAGGAGGCAAAAGGAGACAGACTGGCATGGCTGGGTTAGCAAGAGACTATAGCAGCTGCTCATCCTGCAGCCCAGATCTAAGTCTTCCCCAGAAAAAGATCTGCTAAGAATGCCCTTCAGAAGACTCTGCAGGGGACAGGGGTGCTTGGGTAGCTGAGTGGACTAGTTTAGAAGACTAATTCTCTTAATTCTTCCAACCAGTCCAGTGGAGGTGGGGACACACCTAGCGTGCCTCCTGTCTGCCCTGCCAAGTTGTTGACATTACTAGGGAAAAAAGACAGGACGGATCTCTTTCAACAGGTTGAACCCATCTTCCCAAGGAACTTCCTTCCACTCAAGAAGGGTGATAGGATCTGGTCACACCGACCACACCTTGGAGCAGAGCGTAGTGATGGGCTGGGGACAGTGAAGGGGCAGAACAACCACAGAATACACAGAGGGGATCTCAGAAAAGCATGAGTTTGGAGAAGACGATGCAAAGGGGCAGGAAGAGGGGAAGTCAAAACCCACGGGCCCTCCAGGGATCTCTGGGCACCTTGAGGGCTCTTTAGCCTGGATCTTCATAGAGGAAAGGGGAGTGGGGAGAAGGAAATTCTTGGGGGGCTGGAAGAAGAGGGACTAAACTTCCAGGCTCCCAAAGGGTGGAGCAGGGTAGGGTGCGGTAGGGTGGGGCAGGGCTGGGTGAGGTGGGAGTGGCCTGAAGCTTCCAACGGCTGGATTTCAAAAATGTCACTGTATTCCAGCAGTTTAATAAGGCAAAGATCAAATACGTCAGTGGCTGAAAGGATAGGCCAGAGCAAAGACCGCGGGCTTGGCTGGGAAAATGAAAGCGGCTCGCCCAGAGAGGGAGGGAGAGAGAGGGATAGAGGCCTGAGCCTGTGCAGACACCAGGCAAGAGAACCAAGGCGGGTGCCACCAGGCCTGAGCATAACACAACTTCCTGAGACCTCAGGGAGCCTCTGCCCTCTGTCTCCCTCCCTCCCTTGCATTCCTGGGCCAAGGAGACCAAGGGCTGTGGGAGCTGCGGGGGAGATGCACTCCTGCTGCTGTTTGGTGGGCCTGTCAGAGCCCAGGGAAGGTCTCAGCCATGTCGGGAGTGAGGAAGAGCTTCTGACTCTTAGCAAGAACCCCGTAAAGGGTCATGCCAAGGAGGCCACTGCCACGTGCCTGGCGGGGAAGAAGGGGGTCACCCTGCCTTGGTGACCTCTCTCCAGCACCACTGGACATCTGCCAGCTTGGGAGTTCTGTCTTAACGGGCATCACGTGCCCAAGGCTGACACAGTGCCAAAGCTGCCAAGAAAGTTCTAACAGGACCCTTTCACCCCCTCCAGTGCGTCCTGGGTGCCCAGAGTTCTCACACCGGGCAGAGCCAGCTCTGCTTTGAACAAGCTCCTCCCCCAGGCTCCAAATGGCTGGCAAACCCCACCCTAACGGAATGCGCGCCTGCCGCGAGCCCCATTTGACCCCACGCTCCCACCATTCCTTATATTTCCCACTCTCTCCCAGAGACCCCTCCCCTCTCTGTCCTGTCACAACAATTCCCCTTGGTACCGCCAGTCCCTCGCTTGGGACAGTTCCGGGGAGGGAGGAGACTATATGGCAAAGTTAGCAGCCTCCCAGAGCCCTGTCGCTCCCTTCCTGGAGCCGGCAGGGACGCCGCTGCGCCCGCCCTCTCCGCTCCCGGCCCGGCACGCTGCCACCTGGGCGCACTCACCGCGCTTTGAGCTCCTTAAACTCCTCACGCACTTTGCTCAGCTCCAGCTGCAGGCGAGCGCGCTCCTTGGCCACCGAGTCGAGGGTCTTGCGGGCATCTCCAAGCTCGGCCTCATAGGCGGCCTTGATGCCGGACACCTCGCGGCTGACCACCTCCTCCGACTCGGTAATGCGAAGGCGTAGTCCTGCGTTCTCCGTCTCCAGGGAGCGCACACGGTCGATGTAGACCGCCAGGCGATCATTGAGCTCCTGCAGGTCTTCCTTCTCCTGCAGCCGGGTAATGCGAGTGGGCGACAGCGGGGTGGAGCTGGCCGGCGCCCCGCTGCGGGTGGCGCGCCGTTGGGACGGAGTCTCCATGGCCGGCAGGGTGGCAGCGCTGCCCAAGGGGCAGGGGTCCCGAGAAGGGCGCGGGGCTCGGGCTGAAGGACAGAGACTGCTCGGGGTCGGAGCGCGCCGGCCGGCTGGCTCTCGGCTGGCTCCTGGCAGGCGTAGTGATCTGGGCCGGGCGCTGTCGGACCTCGGGATCGGGTTTGGCTAGCGCAGAAGGGGTGCTCCCGCGAACACTCTGAGTCACCGGCGCCGGGGCAAAGGCTCTAATAGGTCTATGGAAAAGGAGGAGTGGCCAGTGTTCTTAAAGGGGCCGTCACAGATTCACAAGGCCGGGGGTGGCAGTGGGGTGGGGGGAGGCCGGCGGGGCGGGGGCGGGGGCGGAGTCGGGCCCCACCCGCTCCCGTGCACAGCCCTCTGCAGGGGACTTCGCTGAAGCTCCGCGTCTGGGTTCCTGCCTGCTCAGCCCTCCTAGCTCCAAGCTTTCCCCGACTCCCTCTGCCTTCTGGGGTACAGGACATAGCCAAGGGATGAGAGTGGGTTGGGAAAGCGCAGGGGGAAGGGGGGACTGGATGTAAAGCGAAGGGAAGGGTCCAGGCAGGCAGGGCTGGGGTACAGGAAAGTGGGGGGAGGGCTGAGGCGGTGGCCAGCAGGGTGACTCACCCCGCTTCCACCAATGGCTCCCCCTTCCCTGCCCGTAGTAACAGTGAGTCACCCCTAGTCGTTCCCCCCACACACACGTGGGCAGCCCATTCAAAGCTGCATCTCAGCGTGCCAGGGGTGGGGTGGAGAAAGAATGCCGGGATTCCCCTGGGCCATAGCAAAGGCCTGGGTCCTGAGTTCCTTTACCCCCTCAATCTTGGAGCAGAATCAGAAATCCGGGGTCCCTTTTCCCCATCTTCAAGGAACCCTGGTGGCGCAAGTGGTTAAGCTCTCCACTGCTAACCAAAAGGTCGGCAGTTCCAACCCACTAACCTCTCTGGGAGAAAGATGTGGCAGCCTGCTTCTGTCAAGATTACAGCCTTGGAAACCCTATGGGGCAGTTCTACTCTGTCCTGTAGGGTTGCTATGAGTCGGAATCCACTGGACAGCAATGGGTCTTTTGGGTTTTCCCCTACCTTCTGCCTCAATTTATTTCCCTTCCAAACCAAGCGTTGGGTCTTACACCGAAGCCCAGTTTCCCAGAGAAGGCCAAGAATAGGACCTAGGCATCTGCACCCTTCATCCCCTGCCCCCTTCCTTTGGTCCCAAACAGTTGGAAAATAGGATGCCTAGTTCCTCCCCCTTTCAGTTCCTTTCTGCTCCTCGCCCCACCCAGCCAACTCCAGGACTGTACTTATTTGAATGGATAATTTAAAACAGATACCAGAGCTGTGCGTGCACTCATCATGTTGCCAGGACACCAGGTCCCAGATTTTTGTGGTTCCCAGAGGGGCCTAAAAGGGGGAGCAAGGCCAGGGACTGGGTAGCCAATGTTGGGTCTCCATCCCACTTCCAGCCAGAAAGCAGGAGGGGGCTTAGGGACAGCCAAGCACCCACAGCCTCGCTGGCTGTGAAGGCCAGCGCCACCCCCATCGCTACACTCCTCTTGGCCAGGTCAGATTTGCAGCTGGCTCTGGGGAGGGAACCGGGCCTCTCGCAGGACATGAGCACCCAGGACCCCAGACTTCCTGGCCCTGGGGCCTCTGGCCTCACCGAGGACCGCTCTGCCCAGCCTCCCACTCCCCTCCCCTAATCCTGGCCCTGACCCTACCAGCCACCTAATCCCCTCTAAGAGGTGTCAGTACTGAGGCTTGGGGACCCATCTGCCTGCCTGCCCCGCCTGATGCCTCCCACAGTTTATTCTCTGATGAGGAACCCGGGAAATTAAATTATGTTGCTAACTCCTGCCGCTCCCAGATAGCAGGTTTTCTGTAACAGACAGAGGAAGCAGGGCTGGGCAGGTCATCAGTGCTGGGTTCTAGAGCCAGGCCTCAGAGTGGACAAGGGGCAGCAGTGGGATTAAGGCAGGGGACTGGGTTCAGGGAGGGACACTGGGGAGGGGACACCCAGGTCCCCATCTCAGTGAGGGAGACTGGGCAGTGTGGTGAGCACCTACCTCTGGGATCCTTCTGAGGGGACTCAGGACATGACTCCCTTCACTGCAGCCCTCTCCCTGGGGTGTGGTACCCCACCCTCAGCTTCCCAGACAAAACAAAAAGCCTTGGTCTGCTTCTCCCTCTCCTGTTCCCCAAACTAAGAGCAGAGGCAGAAGGGGTGAGCCAGTGAAACGTGAGGGGACAGCTTGTGCTCTTCCCGCTGCCTCAGCCCCCTCCCTGGCACCAAGCCCCCACCCCCACCCCACCCAGTGGCCTGGCTTCCCCTCCTGGCTGGGGAAGCAAAACCATACTTAACTCTTCCTATCCTGGGCCTCCTCATCTTTGGGGAGAAGGAGCAAGAGAGAGGAAGGGGGCTTTCACCTCAGATTTCACTCTAGGCTCTTTCCAAAGGGCCTTCCCTCCCGCTAAAATGGCCACAACTCTAAATGTGAACTTCAAAGTGGGCCTTTATCCCTGAACATTTCATTCTAACACTGAACCCCTAAATGCCATCGGTTTGCTTTCCCATGAGAGCAGGAGAAACGAGGTCCCAAGGGGCTGGGCCTGCTGGGGTGGGGGTGAAGGGGAGTTGCCCGTGGGTGGCAGCCAGGTTCCAAACCTGCCTCTCACTTGCTGTGTGATGCTAGGTCAGCTACTGAATTCTCTGCGCCTGGGTTTCTCATCAGTGGCGGTGGCAGGGTGGCTACCACACACACGGGGACAGAGCTCCTCAGTGTGCAGGGGATGCCACGGGGTACAGCGATGCTACACTGGGCCTCGAGGGAGCTGCCCACGGGTAGGGCAGAAGAGGGAGAAGCAAAACCAACAAGCACAAACAGCAGCGCAGGGCACTGAATTGGATAATGAATTCTAAATGAACCCCAGGAGGCTGGGGCTTAGACAGTTAGTGAGTGATCTCAGAATATGGTGGCTGAAGACCAGGGGGTGGTTTGGGCAGGGAAGGGGCACCTGTCTTGGAGACCAATGATCTTGGTGGGGGCCTTTCTTTTGTGCTCCCACAGCATTCTGGACCTCCCTCTACATCCCCCCCACCCCAAAGATGAGCTCCGTGAAGGACAGAAGGGCCCAAGTCTTGGTCATCTTTGTCCCCAACATCTGGCCCAGTGCCTGGCACACCATAGAGGCTCAGTGTTTCTTGGATGAACAAACACATCTGGCCCTGCCACTTTTCAGGGGAGTGACTCTGAGCCAAGACTCACTTCTTTCAGCCTCAGTTTCCTCGTCTGTACAATGGGGGTGCTATGATGATTAAATAAGGTAACATGCATTTGAAGAGAGGCTTCTTGGAGAAGATAGATTTAGGGACTTTACAGAGGTGCCGTATACATAGTGAATTTGGTCATTCAACAAATATTTATTGAACACTTACTACACGCCAGGCACTGTTCTAGACGCTGGGGATACAGCAGTGAATAAAATAGACCAATATTCCTGCCTCATGGAGCTGACATTCTAGTGTAGTCAATAAACAAAAGACAATTTTATAGTTTGTTAGAAGGTGGTAAGTGCTATGGAAATAAAAATATAAAGCAGGACGATGTTCAATGAACAGTGAATCACTTATACTTTTACGCTGTTTATAGTAGTATGTTTTCACGTCCATTCTCCAACTTGGTCCACAAAACCGCTTTATGGGCTGGAGATTACTTTTCTGTTTTAAAGGTGAGGCTCACTGTCCCAAGACTAGACAGTTAAAGTAATAGGCAGAGCTCAGAGCTTGGACTAGAAACCAGGCAGCCTGGTCCAAACCCAGGATGTGCTTCACTCTCTTAGACCACTTTGGCTGGACGCGTGGGAAATGCGTGGTGTGGGCTGGTGCCGGGTAGACGCCTGTGCAGAGTTGCCTAAGTGGGGAAGAGCTGAGGAAGGGGCGCGCTAGCCTGCTGAGGAGAGCAGGGAGGTGAGGTCGGAGGTCAGAGACTATGGGAAGAGAAGTGGGAGGGGGAGGCAGGGACCTGAGAGGGTTCTGGTACTAGGATGGGGCCTGAGCCAGAACATTCTAGCTGCGTGATAGGGCTTGGGGTCAAAGGGAGAAGGGAGGCATCTAGACCAGTAAGGAAAGAGTCAGAGGCATTGGCCTTGGCAAGACGTAAGCTAAACTGGGGTGAGTCTCAGCAGAGGGATAACGCCAGGAGGGATTTCAGAGGAAAACTAATAACAGTTATTCTAGGGACTATTTATGGACTGTTGTTAGGCACTGGGTGTCTGCATGCTCTTCTGAATTTATATAGTAACTCTACAAGATTGATACTATTATTATCCCCATTTTACAGATGAGAAACCTGAAATCATTCATTTAAAGCAGGCTTTCTCAACCTTGGCACCACTGACATTTTGGGCCAGATAAGTCTTTGTTGAGGTGGGCTGTTCTGTGCATTGAGGATGTTCAGCAGCATCCCTGGCCTCTACCCACTAAATGCCAGTAGCACCTGCGCCTCCAGTTATAACCATCAGAAATATCTTCAGACATTGACAAATGTCCCAGGGGGCGGGGGGCAAAATCGCCCCTAGTTGAGAACCACTGGTCTAAGGTCAAATGGTTAGTAGGAGAACTGGAATTTTAACACAGGTTGGCCTGGCTCTAGAGGTCAAGATCTTACCGTCAGACTATAACATTGGACAGGTGGGAGTGGGAAAGGGGAGCATTCAGATGGGATCCTAGGCCACTGGGGAGGCAGTTATACTCCTCCATGGGGGTAGGATGGGGTGACTCTTTGGAGGAGGTTCTAGAAGATGGGGGTGATTTAGAGACCCAAGGTCATGGCTTAGGAATCCCTTTATAGTGTTTCTTAAGGGAGGGTCCTTGTCTTATTCATCCTTTGAACACAGGGTCTGGCACTAAACAGCTGTTGAACTGCTGAGTCACTCATGCACAGGTGATAGTTATAACCTTGAGCATGGAAGAACCTGCCTCTTCTTTAAGCCACCGCCATGTGCCAGGAACCAGGCTAGGGACTGTGTGGAGGTGATCCCATTTAATCTTCGCCTCAACCTTAAGAGGTAGGTATTATCATCTGCATTTTATATGCCAAGAACCCAACACTCAAAGAGGTTGAGTGATTGGCCTGAGGTAGCACAGCTGAGTGTGAGGATGGCACAGGACCGGGAAGCGTTTCATTCTGTTGCACATGGGGCTATGAGTGGAACTATGAGTCAAAATAACAGCACACTGAGTAGACTGTGGCGTTGTCCCACGTGGACTGGAACCCCTGCTGAGAATGTGCATTTCCA